TTAATTCCTCACTAGTGATGTCCCGAACTGTTTGACGAACGGTTCGCCTCGAACGGTTCGCCACGGATTCATCATTGAGTAAACTTTGACCCTGTACCTCACAGTCAGCAGACACATTCCAGCCAATCAGCAGCAGACCCTCCCTCCCAGACCCTCCCACCTCCTGGACAGCTCACTAAGAATGCAGCTTCAAAATGGATGCTGTCCAGGAGGTGGGAGGGTCTGGGAGGGAGGGTCTGCTGCTGATTGGCTGGAATGTGTCTGCTGACTGTGAGGTACAGGGTCAAAGTTTACTCAATGATGAGTCCGCAGCGAACCGTTCGTTGTGAACCGTTCGTGGCGAACCGTTCGCGAACTGTTAGGCGAACAGTTCGGGACATCACTATTCCTCAGCTTTATGTGATTTTCACTAACAAAACTTTCTATGGTGTTTCTATCCAGGGTAAGCTTTATACCTATTATATATATTTTCTTTGCTTAATTTGAGTACCATAAAGGTTATTACCATTTTCTTTGTTACGTTTACTTTAGGAGGTAATCTTCTAGAGTGAGATTGAATCCCATTCACTTTTTGAGTGAGTGTTTTTTTCTATCTCACTCTTTCAGTTGGTAGTTATTTACTTGTTGTGCGGTTTAGCCCCTGTGTTACCTCTTGTAATCTACCTTGAGGTTCTGACGTTGGCTAGTCCAACATCACCACTCCTATTTATGGTGGTAGAATTAGTGCATGGAAAGAGTTAAAATACCCCATTTGAAATACCCTAGGGTGTCTACATTTCAAATGGTTTGATGGGGTAAATTATATAGGCCGGCTTCAAAAATGTCCCAAATAGGACATGGGTGCATGTTGACCAGCTGTGAAAATTCCAAGTTGGAAAACTGGAATGCGCACCCTCCAAATAAGGTCTTTTAGACCAAAGAGAACCCAACACACCTATACATGGGTGGTATCACTGTACTCATTAGATGTTTCTAAACACATATTGGGTTGTTCTTTTGCAGTAACCCTTAAAGTTCTCCATACATGTATTCTTAAATTGCAATGTGTGTCAATTTTTTTTTTTTTACCAATTATTTTTTTTTTTACATTTGGCATAGATTGGTGGTAAAATTGTGGCAGACCTGTCTGCCTCTGGATTGCTATTTAAAACCCATTTCATCTGTTTGTTCGTCAGGTTTCAGGTTGTTCGTATGTTTCCTGCTTGCATTCGTCAAAAGACGAATGAACTACCGAATGGCAGGCCACCCAGCAGGGAAGTGTGCTGCTAGTTAACCTTTCTGCCCTTATTAACATTGTGGTTAACTGCAGACACTTCCAACTCCCGAACGGTCGGCTGGGTGGTCGTCGTTCGTATGAACGAACACGTGGCGGCGGCCATCTTGGACAGTCGAAGGCCAGCGGTATTCGTCGACAAATACATGGAACTAATTTCAGACACTGTTTCCCATGAACACTGCTGAGATCATCAAACATCCATCGCTTTGTTCCAATTCATACGAACGCCGTGCCGTTTGGTAAATTAACAACAGATGTACGGAACTGTACCAGATAGTACACACATGGAGCTCATTTGTTTCGTCGAATGCACAATGTGTAAACTTTAACTCCATGGCGATTTGACTATATGTATGGAGGTAATTGAGTTATTTCAAGCACTTAACCCAATTATCTCCAGGATAGAGAGGAGCAGTTGTACTGCTTATGTGGGAGTGCTTCTATACTGTACTTGTACGTGATTGGATATTGTAAAAACTGTCTCAGTCTTCCACAAGGTCCCTCTGGGAGTGTGCCTTGCTTGAAGACCTGCATAAAAGGCTGACATGTAGCCCCCATTAAACAGATCCTGCTGCTCAAAACAGAGCCTTGTCTCGTGCTTGGGGGGATAATTTGTATGATTCCTGTTCGGTGCTTAGGAGTGTTCGGTAGCTGACTTTGCATTCGGGAAAAAAGAGCAAATTTGGCGGCGTTAACCCCTTCACCTACTCGGGGTGCAGTTACAAAAATGGTTGCATAAAAAGAGTAAAAATACCCCAAGTTTAATACTGTGGCGAAACCAACCTCGCCACTGTGAACTGGAGAAGCCTGGTTGCTCGCCTGCTCCCTTTGGACTATGGCCCTGCAGGTTAAACCGTTTATTTCCCCTGCAGAAAGGCTTATTTGTGTGATCTGAGTGCCATTCATCTAATAATGTGCACTCAGATCCCAGCTATCTGGGGATATGTGAAATGTCTGTGTGTTATGTGTAAATGTGACTTTATGTATTTTAAAGTGTTTTGTGTCTTTTTGCAACCATGTGCTTAATGGAGTCTTGTGTCTGTCCTGGGAGATAATTGAATTACTTATCTCCAGGATAGAAGACTCTGAAACTGGTTTGGGCCAGAAAGCCATGCTTCATTTAGTCACAAAGGACTTTTTACTAACTTTTGAACCCCTTGTCTGATTTGTGCCATTTTTGAATATGTTGTTCCCCTGAATGGATTGATTGTGAATATGTAATTTTATGTGAATGTGATGTATGGTTTTGGAGTTATGAAAGTTGGGTAGAAAGTATGTTTTAACTGTATGTATAATTGAGTTTCCTCTCAGGATAAGGGGAGGGAATATGTGGGATGTAACTGTGATGTGATTGGTTGTTTTGTAACGCCCTGTGGGCTGTACTATGTTTGTGGATTTCGAATAAAAGAGACTGTATGTGACAGTACAGGGAGTTCCTGTTTTAACCCTCAAAGTGAAGTGTCGTCTCATTATTGGGGGAAGGATTTATTGTATGCCGTTCCAGTTTGACTGCTAGGAGAGTAAACCTATTCGTATGGTTCCTATTCAACTGTCTACAGCATTCATATGCTTGAGAGGATTCATATGCTTCTCCGGTTCAGTGGTTGTGGTGTCTGCTGCAGTGTTTGGAGTCCTCAGGAAGCGCTAGGAGCATCTTTTAACGGAGGTACCCAGTCGGGGTGCCAGGCGATCCGTTACAGTTGGTGGCAAGCGGTGGGATGGCATCCTAGTGCGAGGTAAAGCAGCTCGGAGACACAGTTCGTGGATTTACAAATTGAGGGCAACGCTAGTACCCGTACAGCGACCCTATCTACAAAAGAACTAACTTCAGCAGAGCAAGCATGGCGTATGACTACACTCAGGAGGAGTTTGACAGAGAGGTTAATGAGGTGCTGTTTACCTTTGGACCCAACCCCCCAGAGAGAGCCGTGCAGCTCGCCAGGAAACTAGTAGGAGAATACCTGCAATCTCTAGTAGATTTGGCCAAAAAAGGAGTCCCAGGGAGCCAAAGGTGTCGTCCTTCCTCCCCAGCAGCAGTGTGTACCCCAGGGAGCAGAAGGTGTTGTCCTTCCTCCCCAGCGGCAAGTGTGTACCCCAGGGAGCTGAAGGTGTCGTCCTTCCTCCCCAGCTGCATTGTGTACCACAGGGAGCTGAAGGTGCCGTCCTTCCTCCCCAGTGGCAGTGGGTATCCCAGGGAGCTAAAGGTGCCGTCCTTCCTCCCCAGCGGCAGTGTGTGTACCAGGGAGCTGAAGGTATCATCCTTCCTCCCCAGCGGCAGTGTGTATCCCAGGGAGCTGAAGGTGTCGTCCTTCCTCCCCAGCGGCAGTGTGTATCCCAGGGAGCTGAAGGTGCCGTCCTTCCTCCCCAGCCGCAGTGTGTATCCCAGGGAGCTGAAGGTGTCGTCCTTCCTCCCCAGCGGCAGTGTGTACCCCAGGGAGCTGAAGGTGTCGCCCTTCCTCCCCAGCGGCAGTGTGTAACCCAGGGAGCTAAAGGTGCCGTCCTTCCTCCCCAGCGGCAGTGTGTGTACCCCAGGGAGCAGAAGGTGCCGTCCTTCCTCCCCAGCAGTAAAAACCCAGGGAGAGCTGAAGGTATCGTCCTTCCTCTCCAGCGGCAGGGTGTGTCCCAGGGAGCTGAAGGTGTCGTCCTTCCTCCCCAGCAGTAGTGTGTGTCCCAGGGAGCTGAAGGTGTCGTCCTTCCTCCCCAGCGGCAGTGTGTGTCCCAGGGAGCAGAAGGTGCAGTCCTTCCTCCCCAGCGGCAGTGTGTATCCCAGGGAGCTGAAGGTGCAGTCCTTCCTCCCCAGCGGCAGTGTGTATCCCAGGGAGCTGAAGGTGCAGTCCTTCCTCCCCAGCGGCAGTGTGTATCCCAGGGAGCTGAAGGTGCAGTCCCTCCTCCCCAGCGGCAGTGTGTACCCCAGGGAGCTGAAGGTGCAGTCCTTCCTCCCCAGCGGCAGTGTGTACCCCAGGGAGCTGAAGGTGCAGTCCTTCCTCCCCAGCGGCAGTGTGTACCCCAGGGAGCTGAAGGTGCCGTCCTTCCTCCCCAGCGGCAGAGTGTCCTGCAGGGAGCAGAGACCGTCAGTCTCGCACCCCAACCACAGGACAAAATAATGAAAGGGAGACAGCTGGTCCCCCTCTCCACCAGCAGAGAGAGTGTCAGGGAGAGGAGCCTGATACCCCCTCTCCCCAGCGGCAGTTTACAGTTCAGAGAGAGGAGCTTGTTACACCCTCTCTCCAGCGGCAGCCTAACCCAGCAAGGGGAGATGTTACACCCCCCAACAGTGCAAATGGGACTGTAGTCTCTGCACTTACAGCACAAGGGGTAGGGACAGTCGGTCCTGTTCCCCAGCCACAGAGCGGTGTATCCAGAGGGGAGACAGTCGGTCTCTCCCTCCCACAACCAGGCTCCCACCAGGCTACTTCCGTGGTAGCACTGGCATCAGGGCAGAGTACCGCTGGTCTCTGCCCACTCAGCAACCCACCAAGGCAGCCTAACAGTTGCCCACACAGTCGTGGTGAGGCACCTGGACATGGACAAAGTTCTCCTCTACCCAGGTGTAGTAACCAGTTATTGTGGGTGGGCTGTACTGCTGTTTCTGTTTTGTGGGTGGGTTGTTGGACTAACCAGGGCACTGACCGGCAGGAGGTCAGATACCCTGTTAGTCTAGTTGGTAAAGGGGAGAAGTGTGGCGAAACCAACCTCGCCACTGTGAACTGGAGAAGCCTGGTTGCCCGCCTGCTCCCTTTGGACTATGGCCCTGCAGGTTAAACCGTTTATTTCCCCTGCAGAAAGGCTTATTTGTGTGATCTGAGTGCCATTCATCTAATAATGTGCACTCAGATCCCAGCTATGTGGGGATATGTGAAATGTCTGTGTGTTATGTGTAAATGTGACTTTATGTATTTTAAAGTGTTTTGTGTCTTTTTGCAACCATGTGCTTAATGGAGTCTTGTGTCTATCCTGGGAGATAATTGAATTACTTATCTCCAGGATAGAAGACTCTGAAACTGGTTTGGGCCAGAAAGCCATGCTTCATTTAGTCACAAAGGACTTTTTACTAACTTTTGAACCCCTTGTCTGATGTGTGCCATTTTTGAATATGTTGTTCCCCTGAATGGATTGATTGTGAATATGTAATTTTATGTGAATGTGATGTATGGTTTTGGAGTTATGAAAGTTGGGTAGAAAGTATGTTTTAACTGTATGTGTAATTGAGTTTCCTCTCAGGATAAGGGGAGGGAATATGTGGGATGTAACTGTGATGTGATTGGTTGTTTTGTAACGCCCTGTGGGCTGTACTATGTTTTGTGGATTGTAATAAAAACCAGGCTGGGTGTGCCAGCAAGAGAGATTCTGCTTAACCCTCAAAACGAAGTGTCGTCTCGTTATTGGGGGAATTGGATTGTGTGCTGACTGCCAGGAGTGTAAGCCGCTCGTATTGCTTTTCCTGTTCGGCTGCTTCCAGAGTTCGTGTATTTCTTGTTCGTGAGTTGGGGATTCGTACAGTTTGGAGTTCGGGAGGTTGGTGATTGCAATAGCTGCTGGTCTATGGGAAAGGGGATTATCGCCTAAACCGATTTTATCCCCTTGTGAGAGAAACGGTCCGTTACAAATTACAACAGTTTGTATATGTGCCTCCTACTTTTTAAGGGACCAAAAGTAATGGGACAGATTAACAGTCATAAATCAAACTTTCACTTTTTAATACATGGTTGCAAATCCTTTGCAGTCAATAACAGCCTGAAGTCTGGAACGCATAGACATCACCAGACGCTGGGTTTCATCCCTGGTGATGCTCTGCCAGGCCTCTACTGCAACTGTCTTCAGTTCCTGCTTGTTCTTGGAGCATTTTCCCTTCAGTTTTGTCTTCATCAAGTGAAATGCATGCTCAATCGGATTCAGGTCAGGTGATTGATAGTGATGTCGCGAACCCGAAATTTTCGGTTCGCGAACGGCGAACGCGAACTTCCGCAAATGTTCGCGAACCGGCGA